CAAGTATGGATTCTTGCTCTGATGATGTCTATCGCTACAGGACAGGAAGGATGATCCGAGTCACAGGACGATAAGCCGAGCAATTATTCGCTCAATCCGACAGCCTTCACTTCGTGACAATCCTCCTTCGGCTTTCGGTGAGTCCACATCACGAATTCTTTCCAATCAACTTTTTTCTCAAAATGGTTACTCATGTCACAATATATCACTAAGGCATTCTTCGAAACCCGCTCTTTCTTCATATATTTGCTTGTTTGGTTGTCTGATTGTCCGGTTGTCTGACTATATAACTATCCAGTTGTTTGCCTATCCAACTGTCCTATTGTCTGACTAGTTGGATGTTTATTTGGCCATTTGTTTTTCATATATAAGTAGAGTAAATCAGTAGTATGAGATGTATTGACTCTGTTTCGTTTAAGGTGATGGAGTAGAGATAGTCGAATTTTTCCACAATCATATTAGTAGAGTCGACTTTTCCATTCAATTTCACATAGCCTTGCTTTCTCAAAGTTGTTCTCATCCCGGCTGAAGTGGACTGCAGTTTCCACCTCGCATCGGTCTTATCAACACCGCCGGCGGGAGTCGAACTGTGACAGTGCAGAATGGGAGCTTGACACATTAACCACTCGGCCACACTGCCACTAGTGCCCTTGGGTCACAGGGCAGATGTGAATTTTAAGAAAGGCCAGGGCTTTTTTACATCTCTTTTATGTTGGAATCGTCGACTACACTACTTATTTTCATTTTAAGTAGGTTTCGAAACTGCCAGCAGATCTCTATTAAGAATTGTGTGGAAGCTATTTCGTTTACAGTTTACGTGAGGCTTTCTCATGGGATTGTGGAAAAATTTAATTGTCATTCTTTCATCACTTTAAACGAATTGAGATGAGCAAAGTTTTTATTCAAGATCTACTGACAGTCTCGAAACCTACTTAAAGCGAGAATAAGTAATTTACTCGATTGTAATCACAAATAAAAAATGCCTTATCTACAATCTCACTGCATAATTGTAACATGTAGCATGTCTGAACCCAAGGACACTCTTAGTTGTCTAGCGTATTCGTTCGAGTCCCGCTGGAGGTGTTGATGAGACAAGTTCAGGCGAGGTCGAAATTTTAGTTCTTGATGGAAGCAAAACACTATACAGTTTCGTGGAATCTTAAAGCTTGCTTATGTGATTGTGTGAAAATTCAATTACCAATTTTTCGCCACCTCAAAGGTAATAGCATGAACACAATTATTATCTTATGATTTGCATACATTTTTGCTGAAAAGTGAGAGGCAGATGATTACAGGTGATATGTGAAGTAACTTCAGATGACGCATGTGATGGATGCAATTGTGACGAAGTTCCCTCATCCTCCTCTAAATAGCTTATACTTTTAAAATATGAGATTTATTCATCCAATTTCTTTTAAAGTGATGAAGGACTGGTAGAAGAAGAATTTTCCTACAATCATATAAGTTGAGCTAACGTTTCCATTCATTTTCACATAGCCTTGCTTTCCCAAAAGTTGTTATCATCCAGGCACCAGTCGACTGCAGTTTTGACCTTGAATCGATCTTATCAACACCCTCAGCGGGAGTCGAACCGCGACAGTACAGGATGCGAGCTTGACACACTAACAACTCGGCTACACTGCAATGAGCGACTTTTGGGTCTCAGGGCAAATGTGAATTTTCAGGGAAGGTCAGGCCTTTTTTGCCATATCATAATCTTTTGGTGGAATTTTCGATGAAGCAAACGTATATCTGCTATAAAAATGGACCACTATACTTTATTTTTCAAATTAAGTATCTTTTTCGTGACTACCAGTATATCAGTAGTTGAAAACAATACTTAGTTCAGAAAATAAATTATACTTTTGATTATATAATGTTGCCGAATAGGAAGGATTGCCTTCCATTGTACATTTGTTGTGTGCATGCAATGGTTTTGAGTTGCATAAAGCGTGACATTTAAAATGATTCAAAGCAAATCAACCCTTAATCTCACGTGCCCGCAAGGTAGTGCGCCGAAGAAGTATGTGGCCAAATCTACAATCACAACTTCAAAGTAATTATTTTTCCTTTACTAATCCTTTTTTCTCGCCTTTCTAGTCAAAACCAAAAGTTTGGTGTTTAGATTCCTCGAAACACAACTTCTTTTAATACTGAAAGTTAACTATCATTTCTTTCTCGGCTTAGTCGATGTCGGCCGACTCGACTTTTGATGAGTTTGAGTTTCTAGGCCGAAAGTAGTAGTAGCGTTGTTAGGGCATGTTAAGGCGTTCAATTATTTGACGAAGAAGCGCCAGACGATCCGTAAATTCGTCGTTCAACTCTTCCTCTCTCTCTCTCTCTCTCTCTGTCTCCATCACTCTGTGCCCCATGGCAACAGATTATCTTCACGGTGCATGGCATGCCCTGTTTCCAGGTGCAGTTGTACGCGCCAAACACCCGACAACTGGAATTGGCGCTTGGTCTGATTGAGGAGCGTCTTCCGCGTCTCTACGAGCAGGCCATCTTCACAAAACAACTGCCCTCCATGTCAACTCGAATGCCGACGGGACGACGTTTCCTGTTGCCGTCGACTCAACGTTCACGTAACGTCTCTTTGGCCAGTCACTGTCCGCACTACGTGGAGCCAATTGAACGGGCAATCTGGCGAGCTGAAGGTGAGCCTCAAGCTCGACATCGTCAGTCGAAAATGTCTTCGTTGTTTGATCGTGGCGATCCAAATCGGATGAAATGGTATCCCGACGTTTACACAAGCGAGGATACGAGTCGATTGGTGCGTTCATGGAACCAGCTCCCCTTCAGCGGAGCCGCGCTTCTCGCCAGAGTCTAGGGGACCGACTATGAAGCCGGATAACTCGAGTGTATGTATTTCTCTGTGCCTTTACGTGTGGACGACATTAAGACATTTTGCATATATTGTATTTTTTGTGAATACAAACAATCAGCTGTTCACTCTTGTCGTCTTCTGCATCGGTGATGAGAAAAAAAAGATGTGCCGCAACATTTTGATGGGTGTGGCAAAACAAGCATAATTATGCTAAAATAAAATTGAAATGTATTCACCCAATTTCGTTTAAGCTGATGAACGACTGGTGGAAGAAGAATTTGTTCAGCTTAGTTCCATTTCGAGGGAAAATGTTGGCTGAAGAGATTCCAAGGTTGGTTCCACCAGACGACGACGGCCGATTCCTCTT